CCACCTCGCTCTCGCCATCAGCCTTGACTCCATCACGGCCTCCACTCTTGATGTCGACCCTGAGAAGGTGCAGCCCGGGGGAAAAGATGAAGACCCAAGCAACAACGGGAACATCCCGATTTAGTCCTAAGAGCTACTATGGGCCTCCCATCAATAAAACTCGGTGCAAGGTCGGGTGAGAGATCCTAATATAGGGGTATGTTAAGCATCGGGATCAAGGGTTCCCGACCGAGAGTCCCCCGACCGACCCTTCCAGGATTGCCTGTGGGGACATCCCCATCGAGCATGCTCGCGCGTACCCTCCGGCGAAGGAATTAGGCCGAGCCCGAGCACGCCCACCGCCTTTGTTCGGGACTCGGGGGCTCGCCCGAGCCTCAGGCTCCAGGTCAACGAAAGCCTGGACCCAATCCTTCGCTCCTTCCCGGTCTATGACGCTAGTTAAGGCTCAGGTGCGAGAAGGGCACCCCGAGCCACCGAGGCTCAGGGGCTCCCTAGCGCTGCCCCGCAGGCACGACTTTGTCAACCACTCCTCCGATAGGGTCACGCACAGGGCGTGATGCAAGAAGACAAACTCCTCCGCTAGCTTCACGGGCTCGGGGGCATCCGAGCCCACGCGTCAGCCCCTCAAGCCGGCCGCCTTCACCACCAAGAAGCCTCTAGAAGGTGCACCTGGTGGAGGCCGGTCCAAGCCGACACAGCCTGACACAGCGTGTCAGGACAGAGTAGCCGGACGACGCCCAAAGCTTTTTCGCCTCCATGACACCGCCACGGTCCACATGACGCCGCTGCAAGACCCTCCTAGACTCTAGTGCATGTAGACCATAGGCTCAACTCCCCCAAACCGCCATGTACCCGACCTACCTCGATATATAAGGGGAGATCAGATCTTAAGAGGGGGGGGGGGACGATTCCTAGTAGATCATTCGAGTCCTCACCGTTCAGCTCAGGCTCTGCATCGAGAGCAGAGCAACCCAGAGAGGGGCATCGAGAGCTCCTCCACTGCCTCCATCGTCTTCCGCCTCTCTGACGAGGGGGAAGGAACCACCAGCGGCGAGGCTTCCCTAGGATCAGCGTCGAGCGATCCCCTACCAAATCTCTCTTTTTTGTCTCTTACACTCTGTTATAACCCCTCAGATTTTGGGTGCTCTTGAGTATAAGGATCATCAGCTGCTAGACGTAGGGCGCCCATAGTCCAAACTAGGATAAACCGTTGCGTCCACTCTGTGATTCTTGTGTTCTTGAGTCTACCGGAGCCACCGGAGACACGCACTCTGACACTCGAAGAACAACAATGCTTGTCACGGTTTCGACCCCGCGACTCCGGGCGAGTCACAGGTAGCAGACGATAGATGAACTCCAGTTATGTCATTTTCATGCCTAATTTCATTTTATAATCGTTCTTTTTAGATTCAGCAAAATTTTCCTTCATATGAATAAAATTCCATTGTTTCTTTTGGGACATTGCACATATGGTGGTCGTTCCTCATAGTCCTTGTTTCTTTTTAACAGGTTCTTAGGGAGAGGGGTGGCAAGATCGGGGTTGCTGGTGTCTGTAACGGCGGAGGTGGAGCGGCGCAGATTCTCTAACTTGAAGAACAAAAGTCACCGGTGACTTCTCCTCGTCCCGATTCCATTCATTCCTCATCCAACGGTTCTTTTTCACAAAGGTTTCAAGAATCAATTAGCTCAACCCATTTGACAGCCCAAACAAAGGCCCAGCTTGCGAGAAGTGGAATCGGTTGACTACAGGCGCTATGTATTTTTGGCGGGTAAATAAGCAGCGACGGCACATTTTTGGGCCAGATTTTGTTTCGCCCGGCGGATGGCAAGCGCCGCCGATGGCGGCTAGACACAGTCATCTCGTCAAAAGGGAGCAGCGAGCGCGTGTTGCCGATCTGGTACGTGTGATAGCTGCTGCTGCTGCTGCTGCTGCTGTTGCGTGTGGACGACAGCAGCAACGTCGTCGTCGCGAAATTCTGGCCTGGGCAGAGGTCTGTCGTTGGAGCTCGCCATCTTCCTTCACGTGATCTTGCTTTTCTACAGGTAGCCAAAATCAATCTTTCATCTTTCAGGCTTATTTTTTTGTAAGCCAAAAATTTAGACCTGCTTGTTTTTGTGTAGTACTCGTTGATTCAGACCTTGCTTACAGGTAACCAAAATCAACTTTTTCTCTTTCAGTCTTCCGATTCAGACATGGCAAAACCAAACAAGTAAATGAGGTTTACCTTTTAATTTATTTTTCTTTGTTTGCATCCAGACGTGCCTTGCAATAAATATACATTTATTTTTCATGTAGGGAGAATGTGAATCCTACTTGGTTACCTTGGATTGGTCAGAAATTCAGGAACTTGGAGGATGCTTGGTCTTTTTGGATTGATTATGGAGGTCATGCAGGTTTTGAGGTCAGGAAGAGGTACACAAATGTTGGTACCGATGGAAAGGCAACATCTTGTAGATATGTGTGTGCTAAGGAAGGTCGAAGAGCACAGGACAAGAGGGATCATGCCATCAAAAATCCTCGAGCTGAAACAAGGACATGTTGTCCAGTTCGGATGGGTCTAACATTAGATCATGTGGCTGGAAATTATGAAGTATTTGATCTATTGCTTGCACACAATCATGTTCTTCACTTACCGCAAACCGTTCATTTGATGACATCACAGAGGAAGATTTCAGAAGTACAGGCTTTTGAAATTGAGGCAGCTGATGATTCTGGAATTAGGCCAAAAGCGGCACATGAGTTGGCTTGTCGCCAAGTTGGAGGACCCATAAATCTTAGCTACACTTGTCGTGATCATAAAAATTACTTGCAGAGTCGGCGTCAAAGGGAGTTGGCTTATGGCCAGGCTGGAAGCATGTTGAAGTATTTTCAAGACAAGATCGCTGACAATCCTTCTTTCCACTATGCTTTGCAATTGGACAATGAAGAACAGATAACCAATATTTTCTGGGCAGATGCAAAGATGATAATTGATTATGCACACTTTGGAGATGTTGTCACCTTTGACACCACCTTTGGCACAAACAAAGAATATAGGCCGTTTGGTATTTTTGTTGGATTCAATCAGTTTAGAGAGACCATTGTTTTTGGAGCAGCAATTTTATTTGATGAAACATGTGCTTCTTTCACATGGTTATTTAAGGCCTTTCTAGCTGCACACAATGGAAAGGAACCCAGAACTATATTTACTGACCAAGACGCTGCAATGGGAAATGCAATTCGGGAGGTATTTGTAGATGCATGGCATGGGTTGTGTACTTTTCATATAATGCAGAATGCTGTCAAGCACTTGAGCAACAATAAAAATGATGAAAATGAAGAATCTCATATCTTCTTAGATTTCAGTGCTTGCATGTATAATATTGAGGACAAGGAGGCCTTTGAAGAAGCATCAATGGATGATGCTAGCAATGTCTTCACTGGCTACACCAATTTGTTGATGGTAGTTTCAATATTTGTCTTTTTCAACTTGTAGAATTAGTTTAAATATTAAATTTTTTCAACTTTTCCTTTGTGTTTCCAGGGACTTAGTAACATCGATGATTTCCTCTAGGACCCTAATCGTTGCTGCAGGGGAAGGATATTTTGTTCTTTTGGGGTGAACGTGGTTAACACTTGCTGCAATTATTTGGCTAAACTGTGCAAATTGATGTACTGTAAAAGTGGCTGGGGTTATTTTGGAGCATGAGCGCTATGCAAAATATTTAAGTGAAATGGTTGTTAAATTTGCACTAAAAATAGTGTCCGTATATGTTTATGTATTGAATTAGCCGCTATTCTCGTTTTATTTGTCTCTCCCGTCAAGCTGGGCTTATTTCTCCAAATCTGGGCTTTGTTTGGGCCATAATCTTCTTGTGGGCTGACTGCTATACGTGGAAAGTAGTTTAGAGGAGCAGCAGCCGTTGGATGTAAATTGAGTGGCATCTGGAACGGCCAAAGTCACCGGTGACTTTTCTTAACCAAGTTAGAGAATCTGCGCCCGAGGTGGAGTATCAGCTCTTGTTGTTGAGCTCGCATAAGAAATATTGAATAAGGCTCAAAACAGTGAGTATACCTAGCATTCATTTATTACATGATGGAGCATTGAAAATGACCATCAGTTATCCCAGGTGCTACTGTCTGCATAATTCAACCGAGCATGATTGAGCAGTCATTCTGCCGTGCCGCTTCATTAACCATAGCAGCATGATGTCGCAGGCGCAATCATTCTGGCAATTAGCACCAGCTCCCTGAGGCGACCTTGTACTCTGCTCTTACGTTGATGTATGTTTAGTGTTGTAGCTTGCTGAACATTCTTAAGTTAATTCGGCAATAAAGTGTGGTGTGTTTCTGCTACCCGCATCTGCAATAAGAGAAATGGAGCAGCCTCTTTGCTCAATTCTATCCACCTTTATTTACATCCCATTTGGAGACAACAGTTTTAAATGTTTGAAATTCGTCTACTGAAACTCTGAGGATGTTACAATGGAGAAGCCCGGGTTCCAGTCCAGGTAGAGCAGGGCTTGGAACGGGATGACATGGTTCAAATCAGTTGTGGTTACTGTTGCTTCCAGTTGCCTTGGTCTCATCGATGAGTTGAAGATACTTGGAGCCTGCCTGTCTTTAGCTACTCATCACTACAGTTGTCAGCGTTTTCTGTGAATGGAGCTCTGTTCTGTTCTGAGCCTTGTGAATGGGTGATTGCTCTGCACCTGCTATAACATGCTCTGTTATCTCCTTGTGTTTATTAATTAATTGCTGTCAGTCTCCAAAATTGAGATGGATGCCAGTCATGTTGATATCATGAATGGAGGAGTCATCAACCAATAATACATCTTCTATAACGTTACTGTCCCTCTCCCTCACTTGTGGCCTTTAATTATACGTCTATTTCTACCTATACTAGTACTCTTTACTACAGTACTATTTTTCTTCATACGCTGCACTGCACGGCAAGTTCGTCCTTTTCTTTTGGTCGATGAGGAAAAAGGAAAAGAAAATAGCTCTTCGTCCACAGCGTTCAGACAGGAGGCGCTGCGGCCTTTCCCTCCAGCTCCAGCTCCAGCTCCACGTCGGCGTCGGCGGCTGCCGGCTTCTTGAACCTGTACCAGCGCGCGCAGACGACGTAGTAGACGAGGTTGACGGCCGCCATGGCGGCGATGAGCAGGTAGTAGAGGTCGACGCGTCCCTGGTTGAGGTCCTGCGCCAGCCAGTCGGGGCGTCCGTCGCGGCCGCCCGTGGTCCCGTGCACGACGCTGACCATGAGCCCGCTGGCGTAGCTGGCTATGGCGAAGCCCAGGGATAGCAGCGCCCCCGCGACGCTGCGCATGTTCTCCGGGAACTGCTTGTAGTAGAAGTCGACCTGTCCGATGATGGCGAACGCCTCGGAGAGGCCGGCCAGCATCTGCTGCGGCACGAGCAGGAAGCAGGAGGTGCTGTCGCCGACCCTGCGGCGGTGTCTCTCGACGGCGGCAGCGACAAGCATGGTGACGATGGAGAGGACGATCCCGACGCCGATCCGCTGCAGCTGGGTGATGCCGCCCTCGCGCTTGGTGAGGCGCTGCATGGCCGGCACGAGCACGCCGTCGTAGAAGGGGAGCCACAGGGTGAGCGCCAGCATGTTGAAGACAACGAAGGAGCCCGCGGGGATCTGGAAGCTGCCGCGGCCGACGTGGCGGTCGGTCTGCATGGCCTGGAGCACGTTGTAGTTGCCGAGGTTGGTGAGCACGATGTAGTAGACGATGCCGGAGGACCAGACGGGGAACAGGCGCGCCAGGCACTTGACCTCCTCCACCTGCTGCAGCGTGCAGAGGCGCCATGGGTTGATGGGGTTGTTGGCGTCGTCGTCAGGGGTGCGCACGGCGGCCTTGTCGAGGCAGAGGAACTGGTCGGTGTACGCGATCTTGGAGACGAGGCTGCTGCGGTGTGGCGGGTCGTAGAGGTCGGCGGGCGAAGGTGCGGGGAGACGGCGCTTGCGCGCGGCGGCGACGAGGACCTGTGCGAAGCTGGTGAAGGGGCTGCCCTCGGGCCGGACTCGGACGTAGAGTCGCGTGCCCATGAAGAAGAGCACGCAGGAGAGGCCCATGAGCGTGGCCGGCACGGCGAGCCCCAGCGCCCAGTTGACGTTGCTCTGGAGGTAGATGATGACGGTGGCGGAGATCATCATGGCGATGGTGAAGGTGAAGTAGTACCAGTTGAAGAAGCTGTTGATGCCCCGGCGGCCCGCGGGGGTGCGCGGGTCGAACTGGTCCGCGCCGAAGGCCAGGTTGCAGGGGCGGATGCCGCCGGCGCCCACGGCGAGCAGCGCGAAGGAGGCGAGGAGCACGGCCATCTGGAGCGACGACGGCCTGGTGGTGGGTTTGGGATGAGCCGCGGGGTGGAGGGACGGCACGGCGGCGGTGAGGGTGAGGATGATCATGCCGAGGAAGGAGGCGATGGAGGCGAGCGCGATGGTGGTGTAGCGGCCCAGGTAGCTGTCGCTGAGGAAGGCGCCCAGGAGCGGCGCCATGCTGACGGTGCCCGACCAGAGGCTGAGCAAGGTGGCGGCGCTGGCGCCCGTCATGCCGTAGACGGTGGTGAGGTACACCAGCAGGTTGGCCGTGGTGCCGATGGTGCCCAGCTTCTCGCACGTCTCGTTCCCTGCATGCCCATGAATCATGATCGATTACGATTAGCCATTGCATGCGCTTGCAGTTCTTTCCGTTCATGGATCTTTTTTGAGAATCCGTTCATGGATCTTTTAGCTCATCAATGAATGAATGAATGATTGCTCGATCGAGAGGGAGCGAGTGATGCTCATGCATGTATGCAGCCTTGTCGTAGGAGTGGTGAGCTCACCTATGACGTAGGGCATTGACTTCCATCCGCGGTAGTTCTCCTCTGGCTCGCCGGCGTCGGATTCATCGGAGAGCTGCTTCGTCTTGGTGGTGGTGGTGGTGGTGGTGGTGGTGGTCGCCATCTCCTCGGCGGCGGCGAATGTGTACGCCTTGTCGTGCTGCGGCATCTCCAGCTGCGGCTGCGGTCGCTGATCGTCGGCTGCTTCCATGATCGTCGGCTGTCGTGCTGGGATCGAGGAGTGACGACGACGACGGGCAGGCTAGCAGGCTAGCTAGAGCTGCTGCTGCTGCTCAGTGCTCAAACGCTGCTCATGGATATATGGATGGATCTCCTAGGTAGTAGCGCTGGTCTCTGCTCTGCTGGTGGTTTGTTTTGAGCGAGCGAGCTTGAAAAAAATAAGCCAAGCGTACACACACGGACACGCTCCTCTCTGTCTTTTCTTCTACTACTAGTACCCACACGCCAAACGTATACGTATACTACAGTAGTACAGAGACGCCGCAGAAAGCGACAAGAAACAGGCCGGCGGCTAGGGTGCCATACCTTCAGCGCCTACCTAGGCTTTGATGTCTGCAAGAAATAGGTCCATGTCCGCATAAATTTATAAGCCTAACTTATTATTTATGATATAATATTTTTCTCTCGTAACAAATTAGCTCAATCGACTTATGAACCGCAGAAACTATGGCCGAAGAGAGGGATGCACCTGCTAGATGGTACTCACGCACGTGCACGCGTTACAGACACATAACACATGCATGCACACAGAGACACACGTCTGGTCTGTCACGCGGACACTCCAGCGCTCTCTACATGCCTGTCATCGACCTCTGTAACGTACGTGTCACTACCACCAGTCCACCGCACGTTTACTGAATACTGCATACCTCGCACGTTTGTTAGCCACATTCAGATTATTAGGGCCTCTTTGATACTGTTCTGTCGACGAAATGCGTCCTGCAGTCTATCGAGGGGTATGCCCACAATAATAGATGAATCAGTAGAGGTGCGTGTGAGATAACCGGATGGTGACACAGAACGCAAGAGACAGCGATTAGACAGGTTCAGGCCGTGAGCTTGATGTAATACCCTACATCCTGTGTCTTTGATGGATTGTATTGCGTATGATCAGATCTGCCATCTAGAGGACCCCTGCCTCTCCTTATATACTCTGGAGGGGTAGGGTTATAAGAAAAATATCCTATTTGATATTACAATATCTTATTATAGCCTTGTGGTACACGCCGACCAGTGTCGTGCGCCGCACGTCTTGATCTTGTGGGTTGGGTCACCTCTGATGGTGCTACCCATGTCTTGTCCTGTGGATACCGGAGGTCATACCCCCACAGCTAGTCCCCGAGCGCCTTGTATCCGCTTGGCGACGCCGTCTTGATCAAGTCCGAGTAGTTTATCATGAAGCCGAGCAGTGAAGATTAAAACCGACCAGTTTGACTGGTAATCTGAGCGGTGAAGATTGAAGCCGACCAGTTTGACTGATAATCTGAGTGGTGAAGATCGAAGCCGACCAGTTTGAATGGTAATATGAGCGGTGAAGATTGAAGGAAACTGGCCAGCAGGCCTTGGACTTGCACGAGTAAGGCTTGTCAGAAGGATGTAAGGGGCTCAAGATAAAATTTAAAAATTCTTCACCTTAGGTGAAGTGTAGCCACTTAGACTCCGTTTGCGAGGAATCATCCATGACCTAGTCAATAAGAAGGGTAAATCAATAAAAGAGCACTACATTCACCGCCAGGTGAAGTGTAGCCACTTAGTCCCCCGAGCCTGCTGGAAGGTGAAGAAATAAATCTTGTAGCAGGGTTAAAAAAATAAGCTTTAAAGCTTACCAACGTCATCTGTCATGTGTGTATCAAGACCCCAGATGTGCTACCCAACATCAGCACCCTGATCCGAACAGCATGGAGCAACTTGAAAGCACAGCGATGATGCGTAGCAAAATCCAAACGCCAAGCGAGTCCCCAGCTTAGCTGGCGACTCTTGCACGAAGAATCCAAGCGCCGAGGAGTCTCCAGCATAGCTGGCAAGTCCCCAACATAGCTGTCGATGAAGCCAAAGCGACGAGCAATCTGACCAACGGGTTGGTGATGAGCGCCGAGCAGTCCAACTAACTGGTCGGCGGTGAAGTGAATGCCTGAGCGGAAGTGAGCGTCGAACAGTCCGACCAACTGGTTGGCGATGAAGTCCATGACCCGAACGGTCCGACCAGTTGGTCGGCGGTGAAGTCCGAGTGCCAGCTGGTGCGACCACCCAGACGATGATCCTCTTGTCCTTATAGACGGATCCAGCCCCCGAGCGTAAGCTCGTTGAATGAACCAGGTCCCTGAAATAAAAATATGTAGAACGGATAGTTCATGATGTAAAAATAAAATATATGAAACCCGGAGGAAAATCAGCAATGATGAAATAGCGTATGCAGCTCGGCGATCAGTTGTAGATGAACATTATGTTCGTTTTTGGATGAAGTGTTTATATTTAATATAAACCGTTCGAACAATTAGTTTGTAGCTGAGTCTCTAGCCCTAGCTAGCCCATTAACCATAACACGGAGCACGGAGCCCTTGTGCGTGTAGGAAGAACAAAGCATCGCTAAGGAGCCGCTGCCGATCACCCGTAATACAAAGGGCAGATGCTCGTGCACGTATAGGGAGAAGCCGGAGACAGGGCCGTCTCTGGGGACATCCGAGCGTCAACATGACTATTTGGGGATTTATTGAGTCGAAAGCGTGTGTCATCTTGGAGATGGTATACGTGGAGAAAAAAGTTGTTTGGAGAATAATTATGGACAAAACAACATGGAGAGACATCGGAGACGTATGAAGATTAGAGAATATTTAGAAGAATATTAAAGCATGACTTAGCTTGATTGACGCCGAGTGGAGTAGAAGAGCCAGCAAATCATGATGTCTGAGTAGATGGATGTGATTTGGATGGCTCGCTTGATAGCTCGAACAGTTCGCTTGGCAGCTTGGACAGCTTGTTTGACAGCTTGGACGGTTCGCTTAACAGCTCAGATGAGTATGCTTGACAGCTCGGACGAGTATGCAGAGTCATAGGTGAACGGACATAGTCGGAGCCTAACGGAGTCAATCCACGTGGGGAGGTGAAAGCCCATGGGCGTGTCCGACCAAGGCGAGGCACAGTCCGAGATCTTCTTGCTCTTGCTGATCGGGAAAGGTAGTAGTGCCAAGTAGCTTTGTCTCCAGCGGGCGATAGGGGCCGATGACTGTATCGTTGACGAGTTGAAACTGAGGTCTGCACTGCCAATGGGATCAATAGAGCCGAGTGTCGCTGTGGATAGCGACGAGGTTGGATCCGTCGACGGGGGCATCAATGAGGATCAATGGGTGTCATCAGTGTGGGCCGACGTGAGATGACGATAGACTGGTCGGTGCATGACACCGATGAGTCGATGCTGATGACAGCGGCACAATTGAGATCTTGCCATTAATCATCACATGGATGTAGAGACATCCGAAGATGCATTATATGGAATATTTAATTAAAACAGGAAAGGTCATGACTTAGCTTTTGATGAAACCGCATGTTTCGACATTGAGTTGGAATTGGATCCTAGAAACACAAACATGTACGCACATATCAAGCACGTACATGCATGAGTACGAGGGAGTCTTGTTGTTCTGATTACTAGCTTGGATCCCACAGCTCCATAGATCTAGATGAATACGTGCTTCTATATCTCTTCGATTACACCAGTTAGCTTGTCGGGTTCATAAACCCGGGGTTCCCAATGGGACCGCTTCCCAGCTAAAAGCTCGGCCCAGCAGATGACATTGCGACAATGCACGACTCCTGGGCCGGCCCAGATACCGAATGGTAGGTCGAAAGAGCAATCTAGTCTCCGACCAGAAGGCCTGGCCAAGGAGGGGACAACGCTCGCTTCCAACTCCGAACCGCTTTTTCCGACCGGAAGGCTTGGCCAAGGAGGGGGCGACGCTTGCTTCTGACTTCAACCCGCTTCTCTGATCGAGAATACACCGAACCTCTACTTACGACTCTTCTCCGACCGGCGCGGTCGGAGCCGACTGGGAACGATCGGTCGGGGACGCCCGCTCGGTGAGGACCCAAGAAATCAAATGGAGCGGATAAGGTAAGGCGCTCAAGTCAACCGCAATACCGAGGACCCTACCCTGCACACCTGCAGGACAGTACCGCCAGACCATGTCAGAAGGGTGCTCTGCAACCTTCCAGACATGTCAGAACACGAACAATGTTGTGGGCGCCAATATTTGTCCTACAGTATGGTAGGCGCCGATATTTGCCATACCAGAAGAACACGATGGAGTCAACCACATGCATCTGGGCATCAACAGTATTGTGGACGTCGACAAACCATCTTGTACCAGACTTCATGGGCAACAAGACTAGGTAGCACACACACACTCTCTCTCTCTCTCTTGTAAGGCCATCCCCTTCACCTGTAAAAGGGGATGCGCTCTCTCCCAACAAGAAAAAAACGACGACGACGACGACAATTCATTCAGACTCTCTCTGCTAGGCTTTAGAACTCTAAGGCTCTAAAGCTACAGAGAGCATAAGTTCGAATACTTAGCACATGTTGGAGCTCCCGTCACTCTTGGCCCTTCGGTTCAGAGTCCAACCGGACCTTTAACACCCCCCATCTCATTCCCACTCATTTGTAACCCCACACCAAACTTCGAGCACCTGGGCTCAGGAATAAAGTCATCGACCGACTCAAATTGGACGTAGGGCACGTTGCCTAAACCAGTATAAACCCTGTGTCATTGAGTGCTAGGTCATATCCGATCACAACACACGACAAAACTATAAATATTTACTTGTTGGTCACTTTTCGCACCGACAGTTGGCGCCGTCCGTGGGGAGAACGCCGTGCATTCACGCTTTTGGTCATCGGATGGCCCACCTTTCCACCATCTTCGGCAGGGCGAGCTCAAGCGACACGATTCGCTTTGGCTCGCTGGAGTTTCCCACGCTCCCACCCGTTGGGATGTGGGTTCCTCCTGTCTTTGAACCACTCCAGACCTTCCTTTTCGGCAGTCTGGACTTCGTCGCCGACCAGCTTGGCGTACTTCGCCTCCACGAGGAGGCACCTGTCCCGGCGCCCATCGGAGGAGGAGCGCCCTCCGTCGGCTCTGGGCCACCCAATGACTTCAACGATGAGACACCTACGCTTCGCTCCGAGCCTGCGCT